TGAAATGGATCAGGAAGAAAATAATGAAATCAAGAAACAATTTTTAGAAGCTAATAAGATTAAATCAGAACCGATTAAACATATTTATTCTCAAGATGCATATACTAGTAAGATATATAATACTGAAAAATTTTCAGAATTTATTAGTAACCAGTGAGTGTAGTAAAAATCTAGGGGCTAATTCTCAAATTTAGTTTTAAATTAAAATTATATAAAATGTGTGTTTATGTAAGATGCACTTGGAAAGTGCAATTGTATGGATTTTTTTTCTTAGGTATCAAAAGCTTTTACAATATCGAATCCCATTATATTACATAGTTTATTATTTTTCTTTCCACTTATTCTAAATCTTTTATTATCATTCTTGTAATTTGTATTTGGGTGGTTTTTTCTTGCGTGTAAGAAATCTTTATTTTTTTTGCGTTAAATTTGTCTCAAAGATTCATTGAATCAAACTTCTAACGCGAGCAAGGAACTGTGTTTAGGAGAATCAATTGTTAAAAGACTGACTACGCTCAAATTTTTTATAGTTTTGACGAAGAGTATTATAGGATTTTGCCAATATACTAATTGTTGCTAATGTAATACTATACAACTTGTCATTTTTAAATAATGTTTGTTATTTTTTTTTAAAAAAAAATTTCAACTACAGTAGTTATTTATCTAGAATATTATGGCGATTTGTAAAAAGGTATGACCCTGTGATTTCGTGATGATGATAGCAGAAAATTTCAGAGATTTTAATTGCCTATTGATCATAATTTTCGATAAATAACGACTTTTATTAGGAATCCTTAAAATTCTCTAAGAATCGAAAAATCTACTAGAATCGGCCGATTTCTCGTGATTTTACATAACATTATGATCTGCAGAGGTCACACCTTTTCTATGACGTGTCTAAGAATAAAATTTTCAAAGCTCCCAACAATATTCCTATTACCCACAATAGTACATTAGAACTGGTAGTTTGTCAAAATAATATCCCGACGATTATTTCATCACTCAGAAATCTGGGTATAAAAATTAAATGATTCGCAAAAATGGCAAGATTCTACCGCCGGAGGGTAGGGTTTGCCTTTTGCAGGGCAGATGTTTGGCCTCCTCATAGCTGTTCCGCCTTATAATTGCCCTATGCTATAATAATATTCTGACAAATTTGGTCATAAAGACATTAGTGTTGCATCATATGTGATAAATCTCGTTGTAGTTATGAAGGTTAAAGGTACTGATGAAATTCTAGGTGGTTATAATCCTATTGGTTGGGATAAATCATTTGGTCATTATATGACTTGCAATGATAGCTTTATTTTTTCATTGAAAAATGGTATCGTTCAAAATTGTATTTTAAGTCGTGTAAAAGAACCAGAAAATGCAATTATTTGTCATTCAATTAGCGGCCCAATTTTTGGTGATGGCCGGGATTTAGTTATGTATGACAATTTTAATCAAAGGAGACAATGTTGGAGTCGTCAAAAGTCATACGTAAAACGTATTAGAAATGAATCTACATTTAATCGTTTTAGATTGTCATATTTTTCAGTAGAAGAATATGAAGTATTTCAGATTGGTGGAAAACTCTAACGCTAAAAGTGTTATGTATTAATTAATTAGATAAATGGTTTTGTCAATATTGATTATATTGTAGTTTAAATGTGATTTATTTGGTATCTTGAAGATAATTGTACAGTGATAAAAACTTTGCAAGTTTTTATCCAAAATAAAATTATTAATAAACCATTTATTTCATTCTAAATTACCCTTTATTCCTTGTATTTTTGTGAAGATTGAGTAATTTGTATGTACAGGTTTAATCATTTTATTTTTTTATTATAAATTTATTGTAATTTTAATTTAGGACAAATATCTTTATACTGGAAGATATAAGTATCCTATTTTTATGCTTTTTGCTAACGATTAGGGTTAGGGTGCAGTTTAGAACCTAAGATAGGGTTAGATATACCGGTTATAAAGTCTCAAATTTACATTTTGCCAATATCAGAATCTATATTAGACACTTAAAAGGAAATTTTAAAGTGCACACATATTTGTTATTAATAATAGGCCGCCTAAATATTTTTAAAAACTGCATTTGATTATTGTAAATTTTGAAATTCACGCGTAGTTTATAATTGCTTTATTGGTCTTTAACTCTTATTTTCTCTAATATTTTAGAAGTATAACGATTAAAAATAAGTGCGGAAGCTTTATTCAAAATACATGTTATCCATTAGCTTTTATGTTTGTTTCTTCTAAATTCTAATTTCCTGAAATTAGAGGTAAAAACACTGATACGTATCGGTTTAATAAATTTTCCATTTTTAATTTAATCGATCTTGATATATACAATAATTCATATATGATAAATTGCTTCTCGAAGGTCAGCCACAAGACCAATAATTGAAATGTTTATTAGCTGCCCGATACGAAAGTATCGGAGCAGCATTTTGTCTCGAATCGATCACGGGTGCGGTTTCGTGATTATCGT